GAAAAGGGCCTGTGTTCCTAGAATTTTTCAAAATGGAAAGGTCGTTAATACAAAGATGCTACCTGAAGCCATTTTTAGGGAAGTGGAGAATAAGGATGGGTAGTCATTGAAACAGTTGTTCTGCGTGTAAACTTATAATTGATCCCCTGATTTCAGCCCTAGTTTTTACTCTCATCCTTAAACTCCCATCTTCTCTTTGTAGCATCTTCTGGATTTTGGCCTCCTCTGTTTATCCCTTAACCACTTACTTTCCATTATCCTGAAATATGTTGATATTTTCTCCCACTCTCCTTTCCTTCACTGTTTTGGGGTTTTTTCCCTTTCAATCTCTATACTTTAATTACTAGGGAGCTAGGAAGGACAGAAAGTCAATGCATTTTCTGAATCATGTATATAGGCAGCCTCAAATCTATCAAACATTTAATGGAGAACCAATACCAATTGTTTTCAACCTGTTTCAAAAATTGAAGAGAAGGGAATATTTACAAACTAATTTTAGGATGCCAGCAGCACCCTGAGACTGAAGACAGACAAAGACAATAAAAACTAATAAGCAAAAAAACCACAGGCCAATATAGATGCAGAAATCCTCAACAAAATACTAGCAAACCAAATTCAACAGCAAATTAAAGAATCTATTCACCATGACCAAGTAGGATTTATTCCAGATATGTAAGCATAGTTCCACATACACAAATCAAATGTTTATGAGAAAAATGGAGCATAAAAATTATATGATCATTTTAATAAATGCAGAGAAAGTTGAAAGCTTTTCCTCTGAGATCTGTAACAAGATGCCCACTCTTGCCACTTCTTTTCAATGTAGTACTAGTAGAAGTCCTAGCCAGAGCAATTAGGCAAGAGAAGAAGATAAAAGGCATTCAAATTGAAAAAGAAGTTAAATTGTCCCCCTTTGCAGACAGTATGATCTTATATATAGACAACCTTAAAGACTCCACCAAAAAAAATTTAGAATTAATAAACTGATTCAGTGAAGTTGCAGGATACAAAATCAATGTATAAAAGTCAGAAGCATTTCTATACACTAATAATAATGTAGCCAAGGAAGAACTCAGGAAAGCAATTTCATTTACAATGGCTACAGAAAATGAAATACTTAGGAATACATTTGTTTCAGCTTTATTGAGGGGTAATTGATATATACACTAAAGGGCACATCTTTAAAGGTACAGTTACGTGTGTTTTGACGTGTGTGTGTGTGTGTGTGTGTGTATGTATATATATATATATTTGTGAAATCATCATTAAGATAACACATAGTCGTCATTCTCCAAATTTCTTTGTGTCCTTTGCCTTCTTTGGTTTGTGGTTAGTAATACATTTAACCAAGAAGGTAAAAGATCTCTACAATGAAACCTGTAAAATACTGATGAAAGAAATTGAAGATGCCAATGAATGGAGAGATATCTCATGTTCATGGATTGAATTCACTCTGGATAGTATGGACATTTCAACAATATTAAACCGTGTTGCTGAAATGTCTATACTTCCGAGAGTGATCTATAGATTCATTGTAAACCCTGTCAGAATACCAATGACATTCTGTATAGAAATTGAAAAAACAATTCTAAAATCTGTAAGAAGTCACAGAAGACTCCAAATAGTAAAAGCAATTTTGAGCAAAAAGAATAAAACAGTAGGTATCACACTATTTAACATAAAAATGTACTATAGCAGGTCTTTGAATAACATCATTTTGTTCAATGTCACCTTGTTGTAATGTTGATAAGCAAAAAAAGTTGATTCCTACCAAGGGCCACTGTCTGTGTGGAGTTTATATATTCTTACCAAGTCTGCATGGGTTATCTCATTTCCTCTCATATCCTAAAAATGTATACCTTGGATTAATTAGTGTGTCTGCATTGTTCCAGTATGAAGGAATATGGGTGTGTGAGAGTGCTCCTTGCAATGGAATGGAGCCCTGTTCAGGGTTGGCTCACCTCTAGCACCCCAATCTGCCCAGATAGGCTTCAGCCACTCATGAGCCTGAACTGGAATAAGCAGGTTGGAAAATGCATGAATGATTGAGTGAATGAATGAATACAAATTATAGTAAAATAAACATTCAAAAAATAATTATAAAATTTGTGACAACAAATGAAGCAGTACAGTACAAAAGTGCACACTGAGGCTGCCATATTTGTTATTGTTTTTGAATTGCATAGTGGTAGAAGGTAGTTTTTAAAATTTTCATTTTGCGAGCATGTACTCCTTGTTTTAACCCACCACCACTTAGGACTGTCATCACTCACTGACTTACCAAAATAGGGTAAATAATTATCTTGCTTTTTGAAAGCAGTCTTTCTTAAATGTACATATGGCTCACATTTATTTTTTGGTATTAGAATTTAATGTTTGATATTAGGTGTTCATGTAGAAGTTTGGTGATGATTTTTGACCAGAAACATGACATAGGAACTCAACTGCTTATTTTTATCAGTCGACCTATGGTAGAAATGATTCCATGATGTGTCGTTTTGCTTGAAGTCACAGTTTCCAGGGACCAGTGTTAAGTGAGGACATAACTATACAAAGCTATAGTGACTAAAACACTATGATAGTGGCATAAAAACAGATTCATAGGTCAATGGAGCAAAATAGAGAGCCCCCAAATAAATCTCTTCATTTAGAGCCAACTGATTTTTGACAGAGGTGCCAAGAACACACAATGAGGAAAGAACAGTCACCTCAGTAAATGGTGTTGGAAAAACTGGATATCCACATGCAGAAGAATGAAACTAGAACCTTATTTCATACCTTGTACAAAAAGTAACTTAAAATGGATTACATTCTTAAATGTATGACCCCAGACTATGAACCTACTAGAAGAAAACGTAGGGGAAAAGCTCCATGACATTAATTCAAGCAAGATTTTTTTGGAGGGGACCTCAAAAGCTCAGGCAATGAAAGCAAGAATAGACAAATGGGATTATATCAAACTTAAAAAGCTTCTGCACAGCCAACATCAATAAAGAGACAATCTATAGAATGGGAGATAATATTTTTACAAACTATATACTTGATAATGGGTTAATATATCTACAGTATATGAGAAACTCAACTAGATGGCTAGAAAACAACCCAAATTAAACATGGGCAAAGGACCTGAATAGACATTTCTTTAAAAATGATATACAAATGGCCGAAAGGTGTGCGAAAAGATGTTCAACATCACTAATCGTTATAGAAATGCAAATTAAACCACAAGATATCACTTCACACCTATTAGAATAGCTGTTATCAAAAGACAGAAGACTCTTATTGCAAGGATGTGAAAAAGAATAACCTTTGCACATTGTAGGTGGCAATGTAAATTAGCACAGGTATTAGAAAACAATATAAAGGTTCTTCAGAAAATTAGAACTACAATATGATCCCATAATCCCACTACTGGGTACGTACTTTTCTTTTGTCCAAAGGGGATATGCTCCAACACCCCCAGCAGCTGCCCAAAACCATGGATGGTACTCAACTCTGTATGCACTGTTTTTTCCTAAAGATAGATACTTATGATAAAGTTTAATTAAGCACTTATCACATCACTTTTGTACTTTGGGTCCATTATTAAGTAAATAAGGGTTACCTGATCATAAGCACTCCAATATCTCAACAGTTGATATGATAGCCGAAACAGCTTCTAAGTGACAAACTGTCAGGGAGCATGGACAGTATGGATTCCCTGCATGAAGGAATAACTGACATTATTTCTGGAATTTTCCATTAAATATTTATAGATAATGGTTGACTGTGGGTAACTGAAACCGTGGATATACTATGTATATCAAAAGGAAGTAGTATGTTGAAGAGACATCCCATGTTCATTGCAGGCTTATTCACAACAGTCAAGTATAGAATAAACCTAAGCATCTGTTAATGGATGAATAATGAAAATGTGGTCTGTATACGCAGTGGAATACTACTTAGACATAAGAAGGAAATTCTGTCATTTACAACAACATGGATGAACCTGGAGAATATTGTTAAGTAAAATAAGCTAGGCACAGAACCTTGAAAAATTGATTTCCTAGAAGTAGAGTACACAGTTATTGTCAGGGGTCTGTGTGGCTATGGGGAGGGTTTGGGGAGATGGTGGTCAAAGGATACAATATTTGAGTTAGGAAGAATAAGTTCAGGGGTTATATTGTACAATATAGAGACTATAGTGAAAAAATGTATTCTTGAAAAATGCTAAGAAAATGCATGTAAAATGTTCTCATTGCAAAAATATGTGAGGTAATGTGTGTATTTTCATTGGCTAGATTTGGTGATTTCACAATGTATGTGTACTTCAAAACCATCTATAGCACATGATAAATACATACAATCTTTTATGTGTTAATTAAAAAAAAATTTAAGGCAGGATGTATTACAGTTTTTATTACTACCAGTGTTTGAAGTTACCGTTTTGTAGCAACCCAAATATTAAATTTTTCTCAGTTTAAATTATAAAATACTAGCAACAAATACCATTTTCTCTTTTGAGTTTTTTATTATGACATAGTTTTCTATGAATTGTTTATTCATTTGTGTGACACATTTACTATATCACCCTAATTTTTATAACAATTTTATAAGTTCTTTAGGCAGTATAGATGTTCTTCACATCTCCTGCAAATATCTTAGCCTTTGTTTTCATTCTAAATTTGTGTTTATTTTATAAATTGCATTTTTTATTTGACCATGTTTATGTTTCTTAATTTATAAACTTTGAAGCAGTAAGTAAGGTTATTTTCTCTACAGACAATTTACACTGAATGAGATTTTTATTTTTGTTTTACTAAACTTTCTAAAATTAATTTTTCTGGAACATTTCTGCAAAATAATTTTGCAGCGTGTATGGAAAGCCAAGAAAATGTCTCTGTTTTAATCCTCTTCTTAGAAGACTTAATAAAAGAAAGAATATAGTTTGGTGTTTTGAAGTAACCATATTCTTATTTTAAAATATTGAAAGTCCGGTAAAATATTTTTGTGTTTTCCAGATTATTGCACAGTTGTAACAATTGTGGACCAGACAAATGTAAAATTAACTTGCCTGCTCTTTAGTGGAAACTATGAAGCCCTTCCAATAATTTATAAAAATGGAGATATTGTTCGCTTTCACAGGCTAAAGGTATAATTCATACTGTCTAGAACTTATATTTGTTTGAAGAGAACTCTGTATTGTTCACAGAAACTAGTTAGCATTAATTATATGGTTGCTTTGTTACAACATGACAGCAGGCTTTTCAGAAAAGAAGCAGTAATGTAAATAGTATCAGACTTCAAATAATTTACAGAAAGAACCATCTTCATTTGAACGAACCACTTGCCTTTGTTCTCCAGAAATGTATCACATGCCATGATTAAGACTAGTTCCATTCGTCTTCTGTTTCTAAATATAGACTAATGCTGTAGAAGTTTTATCTGTAGAGTTTTATAAAGAATATTTGTTTTTTAAAGTTTTAAAAAACAGTTTTAGGGCAACAAGAAAAAATGTTTACAAAAGTTAGGAGGTTATATTATTCTTTCCTGTTCCTTGTATTAATTCAAGTACATTGAAAACATTGAGATATTAAGTATAATATCAAATTAAGTTGGTCTTCATTTTTAAGAAATATGTTAAGATATGAACAGGTACTTTGAAAATTATGCTTGTAGTTAAATAAATGTAAGAAAGCTTTTAATAGGATAAAGTAGCACAGTTTTTAAAAATAAAAATTTTAAAACTTAGATTGCAAAGCATTATTATTTTCTCAAAATTATCCTTCTTCCTGTAATCTTCATTTAATTGAACATTTTTGTTCAATGCAGTTTTTGAATTTTTCTTTGGAAATTACTGCCTGATGTTTTGGACAGCTTTTAAATACTTTGTATATTTTCAGTTCCTTAGATTTTAAACATTTCTGTTTCTTCATCTTTTCCTGTGTTACATGGATTTCCATTTAACCCCTTTATCATCTTGGTTGTCTTTTTCTTCTAATGCTTCAGTTTAATTCTGCCTTTCATGGTCAGTCTGACGTTCATAAACAAGGACAGTATTCAGCTGTGTTCTATTCTTAAGTACTTCTTATGACCTATTAATACTGCTTCCTTCAGAATAGGAGGATAATAGAGAATATTTGTGTGAAGATAAAAAGAAATAGAAATATTATCATTGTAGCAATGTAATACATGCTTATCCAAACATCAGCAAATTGCTCACTTTTCACAGTGTTGTATCCTATATACTTGTATTCAAATAGTACACTCTCCCTTCTTAAATGTATTTAGTTGTTACTCTGGTTATTGTTTATGGAAGTTACTATTTAATAGCAAATAGATAAACATTTCATCATTCACAATATAACCATAGTCATATAGCCAACACTTCAGAAACTTCTCTCATTTCCCCATCCAGGGAGATCATTAATGTGTCCCCCGCTCCAGGAGTAAAGAGTCTCATGACCTCTAACAGCATATAGTTATCCCTTGATCAACACAGGTTTGAACTGCATGAGTACACTTATATGCAGAACTTTTTCAGTAAGTATTTTGGAAATTTTTTGGAGATTTTCAACAATTTGAAAAAACTTACAGATGAACTACTTGGCCTAGAAATATCCAAAAAATTTTTTAAAAGATATGTCATGAATGCATAAAGTACATGCTAGTATGTCATTTACTATCATAAAATATATACAAATCTATTATAAAAAGTTAAAATTTGTTAAAACTTATACACAAACACTAACAGACCATACATGGCTCCATTCACGGTTTAGAGAAATGTAAATGAATGTAAAGATGAAGTATTGTCTCTGTATAAAATAACTGTACAGCTGTAATAATTTCTTAGCCACCTCTTCTATCATACATTCACTTATGACTAAACATTTTTAAAGCACTGTCTTAGTTGTATCCAGCAGGTTTTACTTCCTCATAACTTCATTACCATTCAGTTCAATGTATAATTGAATTTACATATTAATCATTGATTTCCTCTCTGACCTATGGGTTTATAAATAATTTATAAATAATCCATAAGTCAGACAGGAAATCAATATGAAAATTCAAAAAATATTGAATTATTATTGAATATATATTGAATTATTATTCAATATAATATATAGAATTATATCGAACATCTATGTTCTATTTGAATTATGTTCAAATAATCCAAATAATATATATTGAATTATATTCAATCCAATTTTAAACGATTATTATTTGTTTTTTATATGTATTTAAATTATTTAATAGTTGCTTTTTTTTTTACTATTGTATATTGTGGTCAGAAAATGTACTCTGAAATGTTAAGCATTTTGAAATTTGTGGATGCTTTGTATTCTAACAGATGGTGATTTTCATTTTATTTCTTATCTACTTATCAGCTGTTGAAACTGTGTTTTAAAGACTGCTATGATAGATTTGTCTGTTTCCTATAGCTCTGTTGATTTTACTTCATAATTTAAGGCAATGTTAATGGGGTTTAGGCCTTCTTATTTTTTTTTTATATATTTTGAGGCTGCTTCATAGATTTAGGGTTACTATATTTTTCCTTTTTTTTCTTGAGACAGAGTCTCAATCTGTTCACCAGGCTGGAGTGCAGTAGTGCCATCTCGGCTCACTGTAACCTCCAGCTCCCTGGTTTAAGAGATTCTCCTGCCTCAGCCTCCTTCCGAGTTGTTGGGACTACAGGTATGCACCACCATGCCCAGCTAATTTTTGTTTGTTTTTTTTTTAGTAGAGACGGGGTTTTACCTTGTTCAGGATGGTCTCCATCTCTTGACCTTGTGATTCACTCACCTCGGCCTCCCGAAGTGCTGGGATTACAGGCATGAGCCACCACGCCCAGCTAGGTTACTATATTTTTCTGTAATTTTCATGTACTGTTCATATTTAGGTCTTGCTTCCCTACATTCTTTATATTGACAGTTCCACTAGCTTTGAATAGCCCTGTGTTCTTTAGTTGAGCAAGGTCATTCTAAGCACACACATCTGTTTTAGACAGAATTTATTTTTTTCTGTTTTTCGTATTGCAATGATCATAATTCATACAAAAATATCCATAAAGCAAGAGTCAAGATCTACCCTTCTTTTTTCCAGCACATATTTATTGTATATTTATTTGTACAGGCTTCTGTTTTAATGCAGAGAAGCAGACAATATAAAAGTAAGCATATAAGTCAAAGTAATTTCAAGTAGTGGTAGCTGCTGTAAAGAAAATAAAGCAAAATCAGAAAAGACCTTTCTAATGAGGAGATATAAGGGTTGAGACCCAACTGATGATAATGAGAAGTCCTACTGAGATTTGAGGAAAAATGTTTTCCACCACGTGACACTATAGGTGCCAAAGCCCTGTGATAGGAATGACCATGGTATTGGAGAAACAGAAAGACAACCAGCATGGATCCTAGTCAGCTATAGGGGAGGTGTTACAAGATGAAATTATGGTGGGTAAGTTATTTAGATTTTACTCTAAATACAATGAGAAGTCCTTAGAGGGTTTTAAATGTAAACATGAAATGATTGGTTAACATTTTGAAAAAAATCAGTCTTACTAACACATGGATAACAGATGGTTTGTTGAAGGACAAGCATGAAGGAAAAGCTTTAGAAGGCTATTTCAGTTTTACAGACATGAGATGAGGATGGCTCAGACTAGGCTGGTGGTGGAAATAGAAGTAGACTAATTCAGGTTGATTTTTAATCTCAAGCAAAGATGACCTGGTGATAAATGATCTGTGAAAATAAGTTACCAACACACCTAAGCTGGAAGATTGTCCTGGTTTACCGTGATAATCAGCAGAGGCAAGCTTTGGTAAATGCTCTACACTAGTGAGCCTGGAATTGGTGATAACAATGATGATCACAGAACCAAAAATCAATCAGACATTGCAGTATAAAAGAGAAGCAGCATATACATCAAGTAGAACCCATTTAAAAGTGAGAAGTTAGGTAATTGATCAGTTGTAGGCAAGTATAGTTAGAATCTGCAGAGTGAACTTCTGCTTTATGAAAAATTAACTGTACTGTACTAGCCCTACTGCCATAAAGACCCATAAAACATATGAGACAACTGTTTTTTAGGCATCGGACAATGGGTAGTTATGATCACAGAGCCAAGAGAAACTTATGAAGTGAGCCCCATCGTGACCACATACCTGCCTACAGACATTTTCTCAACCACTGCACAGTAAGCTGAAGTGCAAGCTGTGGTCCTGCTATACCTAAAGTCAGAGTTCAAGGCAGCTGAAAGTTGGAATTTTTGCAACACGAAACCAGAGAGGAAAGAGTTATGCAGAAGGGGATATCTAAAAGTCCACCCCACCACGGTTGCGTTGGTCTTGAGTACTTGATTGAAAGCCAGGCTGCACATGGCAGGGTAGAACTACTTAAGGATTACAAAAGCTGCTGTGTGGTTGAACATGTTGAACATGAAACACACACTACAGGTCTAGAAATGGGGGTGCTGGAAGTCCAAGATAGTCAGGGACAAATAACCTTGTTAATACCTCTTTAATACCTTGAGCATTCAGCTGAGAAAGCGCAAAGGTTACAGCCCCAAAATAACTCACAAAGGTCCACATCTTAGGTTAAGGCCTTTTCTACACATGTTTTATCAAAGCCTAAAACAAGTTCTACAGAGAAGACTTCACAGAGAGTTTGCAGAGTGAGTCTCATCAAGGTAAAAGACTTTGGGATTTCCACAGATAACAAAGCATAAAAACAAGCATTCATGAGTTTAAGATGACCAGACAACAACTCAGTGGCAACAAGAACAAAAATTAATGTTTGTCAGAAGAAGCCAACGTAATTCAGAGTCTACAATATATCATCTATGATGTCTAGTAAAGAAAAAAGATACACTAGACATGAAAACAAGAAAGTGTTATACCTAGTCAAGAAAAAAGAAAAAAACATAGACATTTCAAACCAACTCCATGGTAGCCCAGATGTTGTCTTTATTAAACAAAAACTTTAAAGCAGATATTACACAGACTTTCAAAGAATTAAGTGGAGGTGGAAGGATCCCTTGAGCCTGGGAGGTTGAGGCTACAGTAAAATGTTATTACATCACTGCATTCCAATATGAGTGACAGAACAAGACCCTTCTCAAAAATAAAAATTAAAAAATAAGGGAATTAAAGCAAAAATACATTAAGTGAATTAAAGGAAGATGTTAAATGAATGAAAAGATAAGAAATTTCAGCAGGGAAAGAAGTAGAAACTATTAAAAAACAGAAATTCAGTCACTGAAAAGAACAAATGTAATGAAAAATCTGCTGGATGGGCTAAATCAGATATACTGTATGTTAAATTGATGACAAATCATTAGAAACTACCTAATCTGAAGAGCAAGGATTAAATAAAAATTAAATAGAATTATACCATTGAAAAGTTATATTTGTGAAGTAGAATGTGTAAAATAGGAAGTGGTAAGTATGAAATGGAAAGTAGAAAGTACATAGTAGAACAATATTGATTCCAAGTAGACATTGAGAAGTTGAAGAGTTATTCATAGGTGTCTCAGTGCTCTCAGTCACTGATTAAACCTTCGCCTGAGCTGCATTTTATTCACCTTATATTCTCATATTTCAAGTGTTCTGGTCTTTTCTATAATATTCATAAGTCACTCTCATTTGTGATCCTTTTTCCTAGTAAAAATTACACCTTAATAAAAAACTAATAAATAAAATGTAAAAATGCAAGCTTGATAGGCTTAGGGAGACTACTACCTAGCTCTTTAAAAAATATAAATGAACTTTGCATAGAGGTTCACAGTTTACATGATAGTTCTGTATCTTGATATAGCACCAGTTGAGTTTAGAATTTCATATGCTAATTAACTGAAAAATAGTTTTTTAAAAATGCCCTCTCTTAATTATGCTGACAAAATTGATAATCTTTCCAATTTCTTTGGTTCACAGATTCTTCATCAGTAAGCCATTTTATTTGTATCTGTTTTCTACTTTGCCCTACTTTCTTAGATTCAAGTGTATAAAAAGGAGACTCAGGGTATCACCAGCCCTGGCTTTGCATCTTTGACATTTGAGGGAACTTTGGGAGCACCTATCATACCTCGTACTTCAAGCAAGTATTTTAACTTCACTACAGAGGACCACAAAATGGTAGAAGCCTTACGTGTTTGGGCATCTACTCATATGTCACCATCTTGGACATTACTAAAATTGTGTGATGTTCAGCCAATGCAGTATTTTGACCTGACTTGTCAGCTCTTGGGCAAAGCAGAAGTGGATGGAGCATCATTTCTTCTAAAGGTATGTATTTTTTTAATACTTGAAATTATAAGTTAGCACCACTTGCATGTCTGTAAAGAGCTTATATTTCAGCATTCTGATGAGATAAATAGGCACACTCTATATTATACTAAGAACTTAAATTTTAACTATTTTTGATGAACCTCAATATTCTTGCAGCTCTACTCTTCTCTAAAATTTTACACTTTTCTTCTAGAGAAATACAGTGTTATCAGATCTACATGTTAAATATAGTATGACATGTATTTTTTAAATTTTAGTATTAATAATATGTAGACTTGTTTTCTATTATCTTATGGTTTTTAGTCATATACATGAATATTTTTGTTTCCCTGTCAAGGTCACCTTCCCTCTCATTCAGTTACTTTTTTGTCCCATTGATGTTGGGTTCTCTTCCTATGTCTTTCACTGCCTACTTCATAGGCATATCATGGATAGTTTTGAAGCAATTTTATTACTATGTTTTACTTTTAAATCAGTAAGATATAAAAGTAACTTAAGACCCATCAAATCTCCGTTTCCACCTATCCCAGTTTAGAAAATAACTTCTGGAGAGGCTGGATGTCCTGTTCCTGTGGTTATTGCTTTATACTCTCTTTGAAATAAGGCAAGAAATGGAGTGCAGTGGCACTTGGACAAGTCTTGGAGTTTAGGTTTATTATCATTTACACCTTGCCCATATTAAAGAACAGAGAAGTTAGATATCATTGAGTAAAATACAAAGTTTTTGCAGTTGAAAATACCACATTTATATACACATGGAATACTGTGATAAAGTTGTAAATGCATGTTATGCATAAAGTTAAATAAATCAAATACGATAAAACTGAAGCTAATGCAACATAAAATCAAAATCTTAGGTCAGCCAGTCATACTTTGGCAAAAGTGATGTTCTTAACAAATCAGCATTTGCTAGCCACTGAACACTTCTAATGACAAAGACTCTACTACTATGCGGTGAGGCATATTCTATCTTTTGACCACTATGTTTTTAGAAAATTCTTAAATTCTAAGATAAAATATGCCAACTTTTAGCTCAAATAGTTAAGTCTGCATTTTCTCTCTACAGAAACATTGCATATGCCTGCATCCAGTTGTAGCAGATAACTTTTTTAGATAAGTGAAAACAACTGTCATATAAATGTTAGTTTAAAACACAACATTGAAAAGTCAATAAAGAGCCTCTATAGCCAAGACAATCCTAAGCCAAAAGAACAAAGCTGGAGGCATCACACTACCTGACTTCAGACTATACAACAAGGCTACAGTAACCCAAAAAGCATGGTACTGGTACCAAAACAGATATATAGACCAGTGGAATAGAACAGAGGCCTCAGAGATAACACCACATATCTACAACCATCTGATCTTTGACAAACTGACAAAAAAAAGCAATAGGGAAAGGATTCCCTATTTAATAAGTGATTTTGGGAAAAATTACTAGCCATATGCAGCAAACTGGAACTGGATCCCTTCCTTCCTTACACGTTATACAAAAATTAACTCAAGATGGATTAAAGACTTAAACGTATGACCTAAAACTATAAAAATCCTAGAAGAAAACCTAGGCAATACCATTCAGGACATAGGGATGGGGAAAGACTTCATGACTAAAAAGCAATGGCAACAAAAGCCAAAATTGACAAATCGGAGCCAAACTAAAGAGCTTCTCCACAGAAAAAATTATCATCAAAGCGATCAGGCAACCTACAGAAAGGGAGAAAATTTTTACAGTCTGTCCATCTGACAAAGGGCTAATCTCCAAAATCTACAAGGAACTTAACTTTACAAGAAAAAAACAATCCCATCAAAAAGTGGGTGAAGGATATGAATAGACACTACATTTATGTGGCCAACAACCATACGAAAAAATAAGCTCATCATCCCTGGTCTTTAGAGAAATGCAAATCAAAACAACATTGAGATACCATCTCATACCAGTTAGAATGGCTGTCATTAAAAAGTCAAGAAACAACAGATGCTGGAGAGGATGCGGAGAAATAGGAATGGTTTTACACTGTCGGTGGGAATATAAAATTAGTTCAACCATTGTGGAAGACAGTGTGGCAATTCCTCAAGGATCTAGAACCAGAAATACCATTAGACCCAGCAATCTCATTACTGGGTATATACCCAAAGAATTATAAAACACATATATTTATTGCAGCAATATTCACAATAGCAAAGACTTGGAACCAACCTAAGTGTCCATCAGTGGTGGACTGAATAAAGAAAATGTGGCACATATATGCCACAGAATATTATGCAGCCATCAAAAATGATGAGCTTGTGTCCTTTGCAGTGACATGGATGAAGCTGGAAACCATCATTCTCAGCAAACTAACACAAGATCAGAAAACCAAATACCTCATGTTCTCTCTTATAAGTGGAAGTTGAACAATGAGTATACATGGACACAGAGAGGGAACATCACACACCAGAGCCTATTGACAGCTGGAGAGCTAGGGGAGGGATAGCATTACAAGAAATACCTAATGTAGCTGACGGGTTGATGGGTGCAGCAAACCACCATGGCATGTGTATATCTATGTAAAAAACCTGCATGTTCTACACATGTGTCCCAAAACCTAAAGTATAATAAAAATAAAAATTAGTAAGGCTTTCTTATGATAATTTAAAAGTAAACCTCAAAAGTCTCTTTGTACCCTTCGACTCAGCAATTTTATTTTCATTATCTTAAGGAAATAATTTAAAATATTTACAAAGGTACATTTAAAAGAATATATTATCTTTCTTAGAGTACAAAAATAAGAATATGGTAGAAAAATTAGAAAAAACCCAAATACTAACAATAGAGAATTGTGTACACTATTTGTGTAGGAAGACCATAAAATAACATTATAAATGTCACCATAAAATACTTTGTAACCATAAAATGACATTTTAGACATATACTTGTTGAGATAGAATTTCATGATAGTTTACTTAGTGATTACGGTAGTTTCATTTACACACTAAAAATATATGTACAAGGCCGGGCATGGTGGCTCACGCCTGTAATCCCAGCACTTTGGGAGGCCGAGGTGGGTGGATCACGAGGTCAAGAGATCGAGACCATCCTGGTCAACATGGTGAAACCCCGTCTCTACTG